ACGGATGTTAATCGAATCTGCTTTCCACCGAAGTGAACTTTTCTGAACAAAATGTTCCTATCGTTTCTCCTAGCTTAATCCTCCAGTATTTCAACCTGCTTTTTCCGGAAATGTGCCTCTTCTTCCCTTAGTGATTTGTAAATCTTTTTCTGTTCTTCTCTTTGGAAATTATGTCGATTATCAAGGCTCTTTCTTGCAGCCTATAGATTCCAGTCTTACTCGTTGATTTCTTCATTCTTTTCTTCCGTCTCTAATGGGATTATTCTTCTTTCGCTGTTACTATGCCTTTTTTCATATGTTCGAAGACTTTTACACCGATATATCGCCTGTATAATTAATAACAGGTTTGAATCTTCCTCGATCGTAGCTTGATAAGATACGGATACTTCTAAGCATATAAATTTGACTTCAAAGTATGTGGTGGATTTCCGGCTGCTAATCGAGGGCCGCAGCTTGACTTTAACGTCAGTCTTCACTAATTCATGACCAGTGTCCCATTCAGCACTTCTGCGCTCCCTGACATCATGTAGACATGTTCTGTGGCCTCTGATGATGAGAACATGGTTAATGTTGTTTCCGTTGCTGCACCAGGGGAGTGTCATGCGATTTTGTGCCCTGATTTGTGAGAAAACCACGTGCCGCGAACGAGTAGATCGTGCATCTTGTATACCTCTGCTGATCGTTCACGATTATCATTCATCTCGCTAATATCGCCTGATGCCAGACATTATACAGTTCATTCTTTGTACTATTTTCGCACTAAGATCACCTTGAACGATAAAGATATCTTTGGCCTGGCACTTTTCCGCGGCAAACATAACGTGCCATAAAATTCTTCTTTGACTATCTCTAACGCTGCTTCGACGACTAATCGTCTCTTGTATTGAAGCTAGATGTATTCCCGAACGATGCAGTTTTTTGTAACCAGTGCAGTGTGTCGGGGTACGTTTTTACGTTCGCACATTCCACGTGAGAAACTGTCTGGAAAGGGTAGTTAGTCTTCACCGCCCCGACATTTTCATTGTTCTATACTCATAGCAAGTCAGATTTCGGATTCGATTACCAGTAGAATCCGATCCATTTGTAAATTCTGTACGATTGCTGGAATCAAATAACTCTGTTGAAAGGGTGATTGGCCCGAAGCAGCTTTACCAAAGCCAT